TCGGACGCTTAACTGACTGCGCCACCCAGGCGCCCCTAACCCTGCCTTTTTAAAGCATTCATTACAGAATTCTTCCAGCATCATATTTTATAGCTTATGAAAATAATGTACTACCCTGTAAGATTTCTATGCTTGTTCCATTTCCTCAATTAGACTATAACTTCATGATATATGAAATTATACCCAGGGTTTTCAAAAGCATCTAACGTGGTATTATATGCTTAGTAACCACCTTAATAAATATCTTGTGAATCATCACATCATTAAATTAGTACTAGTAAAACTGCTGTTAAATACATCTAAAGTTTACAAATTCAGATTACTGAACCTAAACTAAACATACTTACTAGAAATATGCCTCCTTGTGAACAGTTTATATTTACAGACTAAATGCACTCAATATTCTATTTAAAAAAATTTTTGTTGAATGTTTATTTATATTTGGAGGGGGGCAGGGGACAGCACACGAGCAGGGGAAGGGCAGAGAAAGATGGACACAGAATCTGAAGCAGGCTCCAGGCTCCGAGCTGTCAGCACAGAGCCCGAAATGGAACTCGAACTCACGAGCCATGAGATCACGACCTGAGCTGAAGTCAGACGCTTAACCAACTGAGTCACCCAGGCGTCCCCTAAATACTCTATTTTAAAGAAAATATTTTCATATTAGGTGATGTCACTTACCTGATCAAAAAGAAGCCTAAGTTGCCGTTCAGATTCACCAACCCACTTGCTCAGACAGTCTGCTCCTTTTCGCATAAAAAAAGCCACCTTTTTGTCTCCCTGACTGCACTCATTAGCTAATGCTCTGGCAACCAAGGTTTTACCTGTGCCAGGAGGGCCATAAAACAAACAGCCCCTAGAGGAAAAAAGAATCAATAGGAATAAGGTAATGTTACTGCCACCACTAATAACCAATACACAAGGAGTGCCTCCCATAGAATTTATTAATGAATATATGACAATTCTTAGATATTGAGAAAGCTCTTTGTAGTATATAGACAAATTTCACTTTGCTGAGAGTATTCAAGGATGTTCTCAACGACCAAACCTTGGTAGGCAAATCAGAGAAGAGAGCTATTTAGCAAGATAAACCAAAATTTTAAATGTGTCTTCCCAATGACCCAGAAATTTCACATCTTAGAATGCATCATAAATACTCAAAATATTATGAATACAGATTTTAAATGAATGTTCAAAAAAGGATCAATTCTAATTTGTGAAAAACTAAAAAAAATCTAAATGCTATTAATAAGGCACAGATGGCTCAGTTTGAGAAGTGCATGACTCTTGAGCTTCAGCTTATGAGTTCAAGCCCCGTACTGGGTGTAGAGAACACTTAAATAAATAAAACTTAGAAAAATAATAAGGAATAAATAATATACTGTTATATCTATAAAATAAAATACTACTAAAATATCAAAAAGAATAATATACACATTACTGATATGGGAAGGTGTCTAGAATACACTGTAGAGTGAAAAAAGTTATATAAAAGCATTACTAAATAATTTTGTTTATATTAAATGTTTATATGTGCATAATAAAGGCAAAATTTAAACTTAATATACACATATATGTATAAAACAAGCTTATAAAGAATATACAAAATTGTTCATCCCTAAGAAGTAAAATTACTCTCTACTTGTAACACTTTCTGCTTCTCTCTCCATTTTATTTCAGTTTCTCCCACAGCCATGCTACTTTAAGGACTTTGGGAAAAGTAATAATTATTTTCAAAATTCAACTTATATCCTACAAAAAACAATACATTGCTTTTGATTTTAAAAAGCCACTGTAGAATTATAAGCCACAGTTTTAATCTGCTCAAACAAAAGATGACTCTTTAATAAGATTTTCTACATCCTGAAACAGATGGAAAATGTAATAGTCTACATGTATATCTTGAATATTTTATTCTCCCAACTTCCCTTAAGTTCTCAGCCTTTTCTAATAGCTACCTAGCTATGTATCTCATGATCAAACAAAATCTGATCATAAAAATGGATATCAAAAAAAAAAAAAAA